CCACACCCCTAATTTTAGAATTTAGAATTTACCCATTATTGATACGTGAACAATGCTGTGCTGGGTAAGCACGATTTACACTACTAGAATTCATAGATTCCTCGACAAGAAATCACGTCGAAAAGAAAAAAAATCACGTTGGTAATTAGGTCTTCGGTGAAAGTGGCTTCGATAATTCATTTATTGACATGGATAAAAGTTATGTCGATAAGATCACTCTAAATTATCGACAAAAAACATGTGTCCAAAGTTGTCATGGAACAATACTACCAAAGTTCTTTTCTGGTAATTCACATCGATAATTCATCGATGAAGATCATGTCTCCAAGTACAATAAACAGTATCTTGGTTGGTGGGATGGTAGGCTAGTTACCAACAAGAATCATGTCTCTACCTATTATGAACAGTGGCTTACTAGGTGGAGTAAATAGGTTAATTACCAAGGAGAATGGTGTCTAAAATTTGAATCGGCAATTTAACACAAGAATTTTTAGTTTGGCAAATTACGGACAAAGGTCACATGGGTATATCAATCTATTAAAAAAAAAGAGTTTCCTGAATTAATATTGAAATTAATATATAATTTTATTTAATTCAATTAATTTACAGTTCAATATTACCTAATTCATAATATTTAATTTTATAAAAAATAAATATAATATTAAAATATTACAGTACATAAAAAAAATATTGTGTTTATTTATTCAAATTAATGATTAAAACAAAATTTAGAAAATGAGAATAATATTACAAACTTAAAATATAATTACATAATCCAGAAAGTTAAAAATTACCTCAATAGAGTTAATTTACAAAACACCATTTCCTAAAAAAATAAAGAAACTTAAATTACGTTATTATTTATATATAATTATTTCAACCAAATAATAATAATCAAAATAGAAATGAAATTAAATGGTGGTTTACATAAATAAAATTGATTTAACTATACCATTGTCTCTCCCAACGATAAAAAAAAGTTAGAATTGTGATTAAATTGATTAATAACACAAATTAGTGTTTAATCAAATAAAGAGAAAGAATGAAAGAGAAAAAAAGAGGAAATTGAGAAGAAACAAACCTAAAATTAAATGAATATAATGTAATTATAAACATAATACAATTAATCTAGCAGCATCTGAATAATGGAATAAAAGGGGAGGAACAGAGAAGGGAGGAGAAGAAAAAAGAAAAAGAAGGAAAGAAAGAAAAAAAGAAGAACTAAGCAGGTTAAGGTGGCGTGGTAATATATAGAGTATTTTACCAACGTGGTTCTTGCTGGAGTTTATTTTACCGACAAAATGCACATCGTAATGTTGCTTACACGTGGGAATCCAAAATGTGCAAAAATTTTTCAATCCTGCCCAAATTATCAAACAGCTTCATGTTGGAAAGAATTCTGCCCATTTTATCAACAAAAATTTTCCAATCCCACCCAAATTACTGGCATGAAAATTATGTAAAAACTTCAACGGACCAAAATTCATATTGAACCTAAAATTTACTCAAACCAATAAATCTCATAATGTTAATATCAAACACTTAATATTAAAATTTTACAATTAATTTTCGAAATTTCACTAAAAAATTATCAAAAATTACTAATAACTATCCAAAAACATTTAACTAAAACAACAATTTAACAAAATTAATATCCAATGAACTAATGACAATATTTGATAGCTTAAATTTCAAAAAAATAAAATATATATCAAATATTTAAAATTAATAAAAAATAATAAAACTAGGTCAATAACACTTACCACTGCTTGACTCACACACTGTAAGAAGAAAAATGCTAGAGTGATTCGAAGGAAAGAATGGAGGAAAGGAAAGCAAGAACTACTTGCTGTCGGAAGAGGAAGACTAAGAAGAAT